GTAGTTGGAAAGAACAAGCTGTTGGGGAGGGAAAGAAAGAGTGAGAGGACCACAGTGACAGCATCCATTAGCCTGAGTTCAAATGGCTGTTATTAGGAATCCAGCTGAACTATCTCACATCTTATTAAAGACTGGTTGCTTAGCAACAGTGACCAGCAAGCCCAGTACTCTGGAGCTCCTGGCTGTGGGGCTCAGGCTACAGCCAAAGTGCTCTCTGTGGCTGTCCAAGTCATCTCTTCTCCTCATGAACCTCATGCTGTTTCTTTTCAGACCGTTCCTCTGTGAGTTACTGACACTCCTGGGATGTTTCTGAGGTGAGGGGTTAGGTACTACAGATTGAACTCAATTATGCTGAGCTATATACCCCCAGCCCTTTTTGTTGCCAGCCCTTGTGCTTTTTTTCTTTTCCTTTTTTTTATTTTGCAGTACCGAGGATTGAACTCAGGACCCTGTGCTTGCCAGGCAAGCACTTATTCTACTGAGCTATCTTCCCACCTCCCCCCCAGCCCTTGTAATTTGACACAAGGTTTTGCTAAATTGACCAGGCTGTCCTCAAACCTGGGATCCTCCTGTCTCAGCTTTCTGAGGATATGGGATTACAGGCCTGTCCCACAGCGCCCAGCTAGCTGAGTCATTCTGAGTAAGTTGTTCCCCTAAGCTTGCTTCTCATTTGTCAAGCAGGGCTCTTATTAAGGGTGCTGAAAGCTAAATCAGCAAAGCATCTGGAATGCTGCCCCCATCTGTCCCTTCCAGGATCCAAGCTTCATAGTACAGTTAAAGACCTAGACTCCCCCCACCCCTATCCCGTACTAGAGATCAAACTTACAACCTAGCGCTTGACTGGCAGGCACTTATGCTGCTGAGCTGTCTCCCCTGCCTTGGGCTCCTTTTTGCTCCTCTTGGGTGGGCCCTCGCCCCAAAGTCCAGGCACAGGTGCTCACTGCGGCCCTTCCTGAGGTCTACACCCAGCACACCTGCAGCTGCACTCCACACACCTCAGGTCCAGTCTGGTGCTTTGCTGCCCTGGGGTGAACTGGCCTCTCCTCTCTGTCCCTCCCTGTCAGCTCCCCTACCAGCCTGCATCTTCCCTGTGCCCCTATCCTGAGCCCTTCCCCACCCCCACCACCCAGGCCTCTCCCAGCGCCTCTGAATCGCTGTCACTCAACACCTGCCTTGCTCTTTGTCTTCCCTGAGCCTCACTGTACTGAGATCTGGCTGATTTGGCACAGCTGGCAGCTCCTGGGGGGCTGCATCTTGTCCTGTTTGTGTGCCTGGACTCACAGGCTTGGCATGCAGGCATCTGTGCTTCCTGTGCATGATGTGGGCGCCAAGGACAGCGTAGGTGGGCAGCCGACCTCAAGGTACTGGGTAGCAGTGCTGGCTCTACACCTCACTCATCTGCTTAGGCAGATGCAGGGGCCAGGGTTCCATCCAGGCGGCGGAAAAGGCCCTGCCCCCACCCCAGGGCACACTGAGACAGAAATGGAGACTGGGCGTGGTGGCACACACCTGTAATCTCAGTGCTTGGGAAGCTGAAAACAGGAGGATCACTATGAGTCCTATCTGTGTAGTGAGACCC